AGTAGCTGGGGCTGACGAGGAGCTGGGGCTGAGGAGCAGCTGGGGCTGAGGAGGGGCTGGGGCTGAGGAGCAGCTGGGCTGAGGAGCAGCTGGGGCTGAGCTACAAATGCACCCTTTGTTCCAGGCCTAGAGAGGAACAGAAGCCCAAGAGCAGGGCTGCAGACCCAACAGCAGGGGGCAAGATGCCAGCCCCACTGTAAGACGGCCATGTCGCATCGGACTGATACTCCTCAGACCAGTTCCACACTGAGGGTCTGGGTCGGCCGTTCCCACAAGGCCAGGGTCAGGCAGCCAAGATCCAGGTAGTCACATGTGGTCAATTATGTTCTGGCCAGATGTGGATCAGCCAGACACGTGTCAGCCACACAGGCTCCACAGGGAGTAAAAGAAAAGCCAGTCACACATGAATTTCCAGAGAGCACTCTGAGGGAGGGGGCTTCGACCAGGTGCCCACAGAAGCATGTAGGCCAAGGATGACTCAGGAATTAAGAGGCCGCTGGAAGCCCTTCCACCCACCCCTTCCTTTCTCTTGTCACTTTCCACTCGTGGTCTGATCCCTTCTGCTGCATTCTGAGTGGCGGCGGGGGGGGGGGGGGGAGGCATGCAGATGCCACATGATGGGGGGCAAAGAAACTGGACTTGCCTCTCGCTCAGAGACTGGGCTGTAAAGTCAACAGGCCCCATGAGAAAGGCAGAATCGCCCGAGAAATCGCCTGGATCCAACACGCTCCCTTCACCTGCGGTTGCTACCGATTTGTTTACTTACCCAGCGGGGCCCCGAGGAAGGAGTTGGCTTGCATGTAGAGGCCGTGGAGTGTGTACAATAAGTGATAATCAACATTAGGATCACAATCTTTGAAGCAAAATGCTCTCACTGCGACGAGCAGCAGGAATGGAGGGGACAAAAGGTCCGTGGTGCCGTGTCATGGGGTATGCGTTCCTGGGGTACATGTCCCTGAGGCAAGGTGTCAGGTAAAACCACTCACGTGGTTTGGGCCACCTCTCTCCTCTCTCTACCAGAATATAATTGCCTTTAGGTGAATTAAATGCTCAGAGCACGACCCTCCACATCCGCAGGTGAGATGAGTCTGACGCGCTGTGGGGGTGTGCACAGCTCTGGGTCCCAGGCCCCGAGCGCAGGTCCATTCCAGCCCCAGGCCTCTGACTCAGGCTCTCGGACACGTGCTGCTCCGGGAGCAGGGAGGTGGGAGGTGACTCAGGGTGTGCGGAGCCGGCTCCCCCGACTCCTGAGAGCTGGCTGTGCAGCCTCTGGAGAGAGCGGTCAGGACTCTGAAGGTGCCTGACTCTGCTCAGGGCCGTCCCACTGGGGTAGCTTGGCAGTGCCCACATCCACAGGTGCACAGGGAGAACCTGATGCTGCGGGCACTTGTTGTGAAGTCAAGTGGAAGGGGCAGGGGACAAGCTGGGGTCTCCCAGGTGGGAGGCATCTGAGCCATTTGGAAGACCGAGTGCGACGTATTGGTCATCTAAGAGACCGCTTTTTCCAACTGTTGGAGCTTCGTTGTAACAGAGACTCTCCCCTCTTCCTCAGCATCGAAGTCCTGGGTTGTCAGGGAGACAGTGTGTTCAGCTAAGAGACTATATTTCTGGCCTCTCAGGTAGAGGTGGTCCATGCGATGGAAGTGTAAAGGACGGGTAGAATTTGTGGAAAATCTCCTCAAATGGGTTGACTTGCACAAGAGGAATATTTCCCTGTCTCCTTTCTTCCTCTCTTTCTTCTGACTGAAACATAGATGTGGTGGCTGGAGCACCAGCATCCACCCGGGGCCATGAGGACGAGAGCCAGGGACTAAGGATGACGTGTCAGAAAGACAAAAGGAGCCCGAGTCCCTGACAGCATGGCAATGGCGCTTCCATTGTATAGGCCTGCACTGTCCCGCAATATGTTCTTCTTATTTATCAGGAGGCCAAGTTCAGCAAGAGCCAGGCTCACTGTCACAGGGTGAGGAGCCCACGGGCACCTGCTCATCCACCTGACTTGGCTCCTCAGCTCTCCGGTCTGTGAGCTGTGAGTGGGGTGAAGAGAGAGACTCTCAGGGCGTCTGCGTGGACTGGGGCTCACCTTACCCTGGAGAGTGAGTCTGCATTTCTGTCTGCAGTACCAGGCAGGCAGGTGTGAGGTACCCTCTGAATTTGGGGAAAACTGGGTGTGGTGTAGATGGGCCCAGTTACCAGAATTTAGCCCAGTGCTCTTAACCCTTGCTCCCAGTTGACCCCACCTAGAGAAACCATGCCCAGGGCATTTCAGACTGGCACATGCCAGGCTTCTCCTGAAGAGGAACTCCTACTCATCGTCAGACACGGCCCCCGTCACTTCCTCCAGAAAAGTCCCAGCTCCCTTCCCGGTGCCCCTCACCATGGTTTCGGCTGTCACATTATAGAGGAAGTGGGTGTGGTTCTCCTCCTCATTGGTCCAGGAGCAGGGATGCGGACTGACGCAGCCATGCATCCCAGCTTCCCTTGCAACTAACGCAACCAAGTAACTGAGTTCTACCCAAGGGGAATGTGAGCAAAAGGAACCCCACACCCTTGCACAAACCTAGGAGGCACGTTCACAACACAAAGAAGCCGTGAGAAGCGAGGATGCTGCCAGCTCAGGTGGAAGAGGCTGGCTCTGCCCGAGCCCACTTGCTCTGAAGAGACTGGATGTTGGGATGGACAACAGTGAGACCGAATCTGACCATGGGGCTGAGCGGCAGCCTCTGCAGCAGCTGGCCCGAACGGTCAGGACGTGGTCAATGACGCCAGCGCTCCTATTGTTATGTATCTGCCTCCAACTCAGGACCCACCAGAGGGGGTCAAACATGCCCGCCAACCAAGCACATGGGATGTCCTGCCTCTAATCAGGCCTCCTGCAGCTTGCCCCTGCCACGCCTCCTTCCGGGCACACAGAAGTCTTGGCGCAGACGCCTCGCTATCGCAGCTCTGAGTCGCAGGCGCTCTGGCTCTCCTCTGGGTGGTCGCCATCATTTCTGTGCTCCCTCCTGCTGAGTGCAAGGCAGAGAGCTGAGCACTGGGATGGAGGGAGCCAGCATCTCTGCTACTGTGGAAGCACCATGCATCCTGGACTGGCAGTGAGAGAGAAACACACTTCTCACTGCAGGCACGCACGCACACACACATGCACGCACACACGGACACACGAATAGTTGGACCTTGTGCAAGTTTGCCCTGGGGAGACCTGGGCGAAAGGGTACATTTGTACTGGAATAAGAATCAGATTATGCTGAGCAGATTCATGTACACCAGGTATCACTGATTTAAACTAGGATTTCCAAGGTACTTGAGCATCTTTCATTTGCATACAATGATCCCTGTGCTAATTACCGTAGGCTCTGACCTACTCATTAATGAAGGAGGCTGCTTAGCCTGGGTGGTCTGAGAATGCTTGTAATGCAAAGGAATGAAGCTGCCTGGGTGCACACAAGCTCGGAATGTTCATCCATTCGACGGGATTCTCCCCAATCCGGATAAATAAGCAAATCTCACCAGCTCTTCCTGGGGGTTTTCTTGTGTCCCAGTGTCATTCTGTCTTCCTTTGGCTACAGCTTTGGCTGCCATGTGGACCAGGATCACGGGACACCAATACCTTTGAAGGAGGAATGTGATGACAACTCATTAATGTCCACGTACAGCCCATTCCTCAGGCCACTGGAGGTCCAGGGCCCCAGCTTCGGGAGGCAGCGGCTCGCACTGGCCTCGCTGTCCCTTCGCCGCGCCTGCGGGGATGCACAGAGGGGTCAAGCTCCCAGGACTGGCTTCTGGGTGCCCGGTCTCAGTTATTTACCTCCTGTAATATACATGGGGGCAGGAAGAGGGGCCGAGACACAGAGCTGATGTCTTCTGTGTCCTACAGTCTTTGAAGCCAGCCTCCTTTACAGGGGACTCCACGATGCCGGGTGGAGCAGACAAAGCAAAGTGCCCTGGGGTTCAGCAATTTCCCGGCACCTGTGGGCACAATGGAGCCCTCTGGGAAGTGTCCCAAAGTGCAGTTCCTTGGGGCACCCCGTCCATGCCTCCAGGCCCCCAGCATCCATCCACCCGCTCACACATTCACCCATCAAACATTTGCTGTGCCTACTACGTCTCAGCCAGCGACCAGCTGTACCCTCAAGACAGTCATGTGAACAAACAATGATGATCTCACCTGATAAAAGCTGTAACTGAGATGTGTACAAACTACCAAGTGAACACAAACAGCGGGCAGAGAACTCAGCTTGGTTGGGGTAGGTCCCACAAATATCCAGCAAGGGACACGAGTGAAGTCTGATGGGAGCATGGGGTTTCCAGTAGCTGGAGACATGGGGCGGGGGGGACAGTCCAGCCAAAGGCATGACAGAGTCAAGAAAAGGCCCGTAGGTCTGTGCGGTGGAGCAGAGGGTGAGGGGGGAGAAGCAGGAGATGACCCAGAAACTGTCACCTGGGTCACCTTGGCACCACTTGGACTTTATTCTGAGGTCACCCAAAGCTGGGCTGATACCCATGCCGGGGGCCAGGCAGAGGGTTAAATCTGTGGGGAGGGCCAGGTGGGGACTGGAAGGCCGGGAGCAGCCCTTTGCTGCGCACTGGAGTGCAGGCTCTGTGTAGCCAAGCTTCCATTAAAAATAAATCCGACATCCGTATTTTTACATGAACCCTCCCAACTTTTAAATGTTAGAAATTATTTCAAAATATCACGCTGGCCTAGCAAATGCCTATCTGGTGTCCTCTCAGCCCCTGGGCCCCTAGTTTGGCACTTGAGATGCACAGCTTCAGCAGAGCGGTACAGGCAGACTTCTGCTTCAGCAACATGGCCCTGCAGACCTGGGTGACGTTTCTGCCCCAGCTCCGCCAGCAAGGACTTCCTTTCCCGTCTCCTCCTGCACCGCTCCCTCCCTCCCAGCCCACCGGACCAGCCCGCCCTGCCTGGAGGGAGGCCCTGAATGAACGAGTTGTGCTCCTACCCAGAGAAGAGCCAGTGTTCAGGACACAAGGGAGCCGTATTTATTTCACATGGACAAGCATGTTCTGTTGCATGCTGAACATGAAAGCTCGCGTGAGGCAAGTACCCGTAACAGCAGAATTATGTGCTTTTGTCCACAGGGAGCAGGGAGTCACCAAGCGTTCTTCGAAGACTGCCACCTTCGAGCAGGGCTGAGGCCTCAGCCTTAGAAAGCTCCGGTTTATTCCCTCATCAGAGGGTCCATCTCCTCGCAGTGGCCAGGGGGCGCGTCCGCTCTGCGTCTCTTGATGAGCTGCTAAGGGCGGGAGGACGAGGACGGTGCCCCACGCCGCCGGCCAGGGAGAGGAAAGCTCAGAGGGAAACACATGACACGCGGAATTAGCAAGCTCACTCTGGGGGGGACAGTGACAAGGACAGACCGCTGTGCTCACAGCAACAGAGCCATCACCACGGGGAACAGCGAGCAGAACGGGAAGATCCACGCTTCCTAAAGCAGCTTCCCGAGGCAGCCTACGGGCCGGAGGGCAATGATTCGGAATTGGCTGGACGTGCCAGAAGCAGGTCAGTGTGGCCTGGGCAGACGGGGGAGAGCTAGCGGCAGGGCCCCCGACCCTTCGCCCGGGCTGGGCTCCCTGGTTCCAGGATGATGGAGTCCCAGCTGGGGAAGGCGCTGGAGCCCGGCTCTGCGGGGGGAGGGGGTCACAGGCCCCCAGAACAAACCCGTGGCACAGACCCACAGAGACCTGGCCTGTCGGAGGCCTATTCCCACCGGAAGTCCTGCCCGACCGTCTCATAGAACTTAATGTTGTGAGGTCTATAAAACTCCCGCAGCTGGTCTATGACCTCGGGGTCGATCTGCACGTGAGCCCTGCCCTTGGACTTGCCCAGACACCGCGGCAGGAGGCTGGCCTCCGTCCTTTTCAGGCAGGGGAAGCCCTTGGTCTTGTTGAAGTAGAAGTGCTTGTCGGTGAGGAACCTGCGGATGCCCAGGAAGTCCTGCACCCGCCCCATCTCGCCCGCGGGGTCGGTGATGAGCCGCTCGCCGCTCACGAAGTGGATCTGCGCGCGGGGGAAGTAGCGCAGCCAGCCCTCCAGGTGCAGCGCGTACAGGCCGATGCGGATGGCGTTCCAGGACACGTCCACCAGGCCCAGCGTGCGGTTCCGGAAGGACAGGCCCTCAAAGGTGGGGATGTCGGGCTTCTTGGACAGCGTCTGGGTGTAGTCGGAGATGGCGCGGGTCACCGGGTTGCGCACCACCACGATCAGCTTGGTGTCCCGCGACATGTTGAAGATCCGCCGAGGGGCCTCCTGGGTGACGAAGTAGCTGGGCGTCTTCTCCAGCGTGATCTGGCTCTCCAGCGTGCGGGGCATGAGGCTCCTGCGGGCAGAGCAGCAGGTCAGACAGGCTGCGGGGCGGGGATGGGGTGGGGGTGCGGGTCATTTCCCTGCTCCCAGCTCCCTATTGGGGCACCTCTCTCCTCTGTGGCCTCTGAGGCTCACCTGCTCTCACTATCGCTTGTTGATTTTTTTAGTCTTTAACCAGTTTGCTTTAAGACAGGAGGCGTCCGTCAGCATGGGTTAAATAAGTGATGGAACAGCCAGTTAGTAGAGTAGGCAGAGCTATGTGTACTAATACAGTGATTTCCAGGATACAGCACTAAATGAAAACAGGCACCTTCATCCAGGGAAACTGACAAACACAGTGGATTCTGGGGAGAGGCAGGGAGGGGTCAGGGATGAAAGAGAGTGACTTTTATTGTATAACCTTGTACACTGCTTGAAACTGTTAATGTGGTTATTACATATTCAAAAGTTACAGAGGAGCCCTGGCCAGTTTGGCTCAGTGGATAGAGCATCGGCCTGCGGCCCAAAGGGTTGCAGGTTCCATTCCAGTCAAGGGCATGTACCTCAGCTGCAGGCTCCTCCCCTGCTGGGCCCTGGTCAGCTCGTGCAGGAGGCAACCAATCGACGTGTGTCTCTCTCACATCGCTGCTTCTCTCTGTATTTCCCTCTCTCTTCCACTCTCCCTAAAAACAAAACAAAACAAAACAAAAACCCAATGGAAAAATATCCTTGGAAAGGATTACAAAAGAAAAAAAAAAAAGATACATAGGAAGGCACCGAATATTGTTCTGGCAAAAGAGACTTCTCTAAATATGTTAGAAAATCTGTTTTGGGGAAAAGGCTGGTTTTGTAAATATAGCAAGTATTTTAGAAATGAGTTCTAACCACTATGCTGCACACCTGAAACTAATCCTATATAATAAAGAGATAATATGCAAATTGACCATCACACCCTCACACAAGATGGCTGCCCCCATGTGGTCACAAGATGGCCGGCAGGGGAGGGCAGTAGGGGGTGACCAGGCCTGCAGGGGAGGGCAGTTAGGGGCAACTGGGCTGGCAGGGGAGGGCAGTTGGGGGGACCAGGCTGGCAGGGGAAGGCAGTTAGGGGTGACCGGGCCTGCAGGGGAGGGAGGGCAGTTGGGGGCGATTGGGCCAGCAGGGGAGGGAAGTTGGGGGTGACTGAGCCTGCAGGGGAGGGCAGTTAGGGGTGACCAGGCCGGCAGGAGAGGGAAGTTAGGGTGATCGGGTTGGCAGGGGGGCAGTTAGGTGTCGATCAGGCTGGCAGGCAGAAGCGGTTAGGAGCAATCAGGCAGGCAGGTGAGCAGTTGGGAGCCAGCAGTCCCAGATTGTGAGAGGGATGTCTGACTGCCAGTTTAGGCCTGAGGGGTCCCAGATTGGAGAGGGTGCAGGCTGGGCTGAGGGACAATCCCCCAACCCCCAGTGCATGAATTTCATGCACCGGGCCTCTTGCATAAAATAATATTGCACATCAACTGTAATTGAAATAAATAAGTAAGTAAAATAAAAGTGTCCCTCATCACTAAATTAACTGAGAACAAAACAGAAATTCTCAGCATTTTCTGTTTTGAAAAGAGAAGAGAGAAAGCGTTCTGATGCCTTTTCCTGCTGAACTCCCTCCCTGGGAGGAGCCTGAAGCAGCGCAGAAGCCCTGGTCAGTGGGGCCTCGCAGAAGCTGGGCTGCACCTCTCGCGGCCCCACTTTACTCTCCTGGCCCTGCCTGAGGGTCTCGGAGATGGTGATGGACCTCCTCCCCAGCTGTGTCTCTTTCAGACCTTGATCGAGGGGACATCCCTGGCTCCGTATCGTGACTTCTGTCTGGATGTCATGTGTTACCTTAAACTAGCTTTTCTAATGCTGGCTACACATTAGACCACCAAGGGATTAAAAAACATACAGATGCCTGGGCCCATCTGGGACCCCTGGTTAAAGCTATCCAGGGTTGGATATTTTTAAAGCTCCTCAGATGGTTCCAACAGAGGGTTCTCACTCCTAACACTATGACTGGCCAATCCCCAAAGCATTCATCTTCATTCCTCTGGAATATAGACTCCTGGTTCCTAGTCCTCTTCGTCCCAGACCCCATCAGCATCCTTACTCAATGACCTGGCTTCAGAGTCCTTTGACTAAATGTCTCCATTTTCTCTTCTCTTCGAGCAATTCTTACTCCTTGGGTCTTGTCATTGGAATTGCCCTAATTCTGAAATGGTTCACTCTGACAGTGCACTCTAGGACGATGTAGTGGGTTGAATGGTGACCCTCCATTCAAGATGTATCTGCTCAGAACCTATGAATGGGACCTTATTTGGAAAAAGTCTTTGCAGATGTAAGCTGAGGATCGTGAGATGAGATCATCCTGGGTTAGGTGGGCCCAATGTCCGATGAGGAATATGCTTATAAGACAACAGAACGGGGAGAAGAGATACACAGAGAAGAAGGCAATGTGAAGACAAAGGCAGACCATGGGATGATATAGCTACTCGCCAAGAAATGCCAAGGAAACGAAGGACTGCAACCTTATTTCTTTATGCATTTACCAGAGTATCAAACTCATTATACCCGATCTTCAAATTCATCTATGATCTTCTTGATTTCACTTTCTTGCATACCTTCTCTGGACCCAATGAACAATCATTTCAGTTTCTTCTTCCTCTTCTTCTTCATCCTCCTCCTCATCATCATCATCAATTTCCTGTACCACTTGCTCTTCCAGTCCCTAATAAGGCATCCTCCCAGCCTTTCATCATCTCTGATTCTGTCTCTGGGTTGCCAAACAGCAGGAGAGAAAACTGCTGACCCTGGCAACTGGATCCTTCCTATGGTTACTAATTCCATCTTCACTGGAGCCTCAACACTGCTCAGTAATTTGGTAAATTTGTTTTTACAGCCCCCTTGTTATTCTTCAGAGTAGGTGTTCCAAATCCTCACCATAAGCACCCACCCTTAACACACAACCAGTCACCCACTGCACCAGGAAGACATAAGCCGTCATACCTTCAACTTTCCTCTCCTCTATCCTGAAACTATAGCCCACACCGATCCTGCACCCTCCCGCTGGTCTCCGAGGAGAGGCAGGCAGGAGCTCCCTGTCCACCGGCACTCTCAGGTCTCTTCCTCGGCTGCCTGCCCTGCAAGCCTGCCTGCTAGCCCCGGGGACTCCCAGAGTCACTGCACAACAGACAGGCAGATACAACTGATATTTTGCTTCCAGGCCCAATGTTTATAATGAACCGTGTGAGCTGAAAGTCTTCATAGTATTTATTAACACCGAGAAGGCCACTTCTTAATCGGCTATCGTTACTAGCTAACAGTCACATACACTTGAATAGAATCTTCTGGCCAGCTTTTCTTATACACCTGGCTATGTTACATTATGGCCCTGGAATACACTGTAATTACATGCTGGCCTTTATGATGAGAGTAGGCAGAATTACCTGAATGTGAGAGTACATTTAAACTTAAGGACTTTCCAACTCCATGTGGGTTATTGATATAAAGGCAATCCCCCAGACACAAATAAGTCGACTTGACAAGCCATGAAACAGATTTCCCTTGAAAACACTAAAGAATTCCCGAGAAGAGGTGGGGACACAGCATTTCCCCAGCTTATGTGACTAATGGGCAATGGACTTCGCCACGAGCACTGTTGCCCTTGGGAAATTCCGACCCGTCCCAGGGGTCTTCAGAGCATCCCGCCACCCCCTGGTTTTGAACTGAAACGAAGCTCCGTGTCTCTAGTTCCTAATGGCCTGTCAGCTGCAGTGTCTCCCTCCCTCACAAACACGAAGGGAAAACAGACACTAGACTGCAAACAGCACCGTACGGCGTCTTGCCATGGGCCTACCGGCTCCTGTGTGCTTCACATGTTCCCTCTCCCCCGGAGACACCCTCACGTGGTATGTCTGTGCGGCTCTGGCACAGAGCGCCGAGCCCGTGGGAGGGGAGCGCGCAGAGCCTGGGTGGGCGTCTCCCTGCTCGTGCGCATGTGGGCCGGGGAGCACACTTTTCCTTAAGGCTCATTTTTCCTCTTCATGTCGTTGTTTAAATTTCGTTTACTTGCTTCCAGCTGCTAGCACACAGCTGAATTTTTCTCTCGCGCTGTAACCGTCTTAAGCTTCCACCTCCTTTATTTTCTATGTAGTTTTGCAAAAATTACTGTGATGGTCTGACACTCATCCTTTGGGCTTACCTCCCACCTGTTATTTTAACCTGCTCAGCAACGATTTCTCTACGTCTGATATGAGCCCCTGATTTTTATTTGAGGAACCACCACTCCTGCTTTGGATAAAATCTTGATGGGCCAAGGGTGGGTGCATGAATGAAGTTGTGTCATAAAGACTAACAATGGGCCATCAAGACTGAAATGTTTGGACTGAACCTTCCCACCAGGTATAGGGGCCTGGAAAAGCCGCCGCATCAGCTTCTCTTAGCAAATCCCTGCAGCGATCTTGGTTCTGGCCCTGGATCTTCCACTTTCGTCTGCATTCTCTGAGTTATGACACCTCCTTCCAAAAAGGTATTTGCTACTTTGAGTTAGTCCCAGTTGTAGCTGTTGCTTGCAACCCAGGAACCTAACTTACCCAGCTTCCTCCCTGTGGGAGCTACGCTCAGCCCACTGGAACGTAAACTCCACGAGGCCAGGGTGCACCTTCCCTACATCTACGTCCCCAGGGTCTACCATAGTCCATGACACAAGTAAGGGCTCCGTCAATATTGTTGGGATTACAATGAAACCAACAACCAGTCTAACCCAGTTATGCGCTGAAGCCCTCACTCCCTTTTCCAGTTCCCCACACTCTCAGGCCTCTGGACCTGCCCACACGGGTGTTCCCACCGCTCGCCTGGCATGTGATCTTCCTGGAGGAGCTCATTCCTTCCCAGGCCTCCCACCCCGCCTGCGAGATGCCGACTCGTGCGTCTGCAGCAGCAGCTCCAGCCTCCCCATGCCCTGGGCTGGGATGCCCAGCTGTCTGTGGACTGGGTACCCTGCCTCGGCAACCGAACTTGCCATTTTCTTCCCCAACTCACAGCTCTCCTTTGCCGGTTTCTACAGATGACATCACCATAAATCCACTCGGGGAGCAGAGAAACCTGCTCACTCTTGACTCCTCCTCACATCGCTCTCATTCTCACAGGCTTTCCCTCCCCACATTTTTTCAGGTCTCCCCTCAGGCTCTTGTCATCTCCTCCTCCGACAAGAGCTTTGTCTCTGACCTCCATGCTTTCATCCTCTCCTCCCTTTTATCCATCCGTTTTCCGTGTCCACCAGAGAAATCTTTCTAAAGCAAATGCAATCTTGTCAGCTATCAATTCTTCTTTTGGATAAAGTCCGAGTTCTCCGACTTGGTCTCGAGGCCAGTGCCTACCTTTCCAGAATTAATTTCTAGCTATTTCCTGGCAACCAATGCCCACGCCGCGTGAACACAAAGTCTCGCTCTTTCATGTGGTTTGCACTTGCTGAGGCTTTTGTTTTTATCCTCTCAGCCTCGGGATCATCTTTCTCGCCTCCCTCACTGTGGTGACCTTGACTCACCTTTCCAAGTCTAAACCGGAAGTCACATGCTCTGTGAGCCCTTCTGTGTAGTGTCAAGGCCCTCTGTGCCTCCAGCTTCGAGGACCCTGTCCCACTGTGTGGAACCTATTAGCTATGCATCCATTTATAGCAACAGGTCCTCAGCGACTGGGCGTGTTTCTTACTCATTTTTGCCCTCGTAGCGTAATACCGGGCATATCATAGGCGCTCAACCAATTGATCAGAGACCCGGTGTCAAAGGCACTGACAGGTCATCTGAGTCCTCAGAGATTAGCGGTGTTTACGGCGCCCAGCCTCTTCTTGGCATTCTGACTTTGGGCGGAGGAAGGACTCAGCAGACAGTCCCGGGAGGGCGTCAGGGTGCCATTGCTCAGATCTCACCGTGGCCAGGTGCTCAGGCTCACAGAGGGGAGTCCACGCTCCAAATATAAGAAGGCCAAGTAGATGTCAAAGAACAGGCCTTGTGCCATCTCTGCCTTGCTGTCTGCACACGTCCTTTGGCCAAGGCTCCCCCTGGTGTTCAGAACAGGGCTGTGGTCGCTCTGCATGTGGCTGGGAGGGCGGTGGTGGGCGAGTCAAGCTGCACACTGGGACCACCTGGAAGGCTTCGAAGATATGCAAGTGCCGGCGCCCACGCCAGACTCATTAAATCAGAACCTCCGGGCTGGACACGAGGCCTGGGCACCTGCAGTTTAAAGCTCCCCAGATGCTCCGAGCGGCCACGGAGCCAAGAACCGGGGCTGCACACTGAGTGCTCCCTTAGCCACTCAGCCTTTAAAACAGTTGTCTGAGCATCACCCTGGCCTGCCCTGGAGAAATAGGGTCCCAGGCCCCTTCCCTGTACATTCTGGCTCAATGGCTTTGGGGTGCAGTCCAGGACCCTCCATTTTTAACGCCCCCCGCCATGATTCTTAGGATCAGAGAAGCTTGGGAAGTGCAGCATGTAAGGTGCACTCGCAGGAACACGATGGTAGCCTTTACTGTCTATCAAATACCGTTTGCATGTCTCTATCTGCCCAGCCCCGCCCTGACCGTAGATAAAGAGCTCCAAGAGAATAGGGTTGGTCTGTCTTAGACACGGCTGTGTTCTTAGCACCAAGGAGACGATGGGCACTTAGTAGGGCTGCAGTAAATATCCGTTGAAGGGAAAACACAAAGGCAAGGCCTTCGTCTGGCACAAAGAAGCAGCAGCACATGGTGTGTGCCAGGGGAGACGTGTGCCCGTCCCCATGCCACAGCCCGCAGCCCATCTTCTTCCTGCGGGAGAATCACAGGCTTCCTGCGGCCCCACCAACAAAAGAAAACACCCTACTACGTCCTTGTCAGCTTGGAAATGACGGTTCTGACCCACCCAGTGGGGCAGAGACGGCTCCCATGGCCACCCCTCCGCACAAGGGACGCCCTGCGCACCTGTGAGCCCGGGGCCGGCGCGGGCAGGTCTCCTGGGAGCCTGCGGGGCGGGCTCACCTGAGCTTGATCGCAGGATTCTCGGGAAGATCCTACTTTCTGCTAAATCTGCACGCCCCGCGGATGTGTTCAGGAAGACCTGGCTGCCTGGGGGCTCTTTAGTGACTCATTAGCTCCTAACTGGGTAAGCAGTCTCCAGGGGGGCAATTAGGAGCAGGAGAGGAGGGAAAGGCTTTATTGCAAGAAACAGGTTCTGAAAACCAACCCTGCTCACCCCCACACGCTGAGGCGGGTGCAGCCCCTCTGTCCTCCTCAGCCCCACATCCTTACACTTCCCTGACCCAGAGCAAAACACCAGGTCCCAGCTTGAGCGGCAGCCATAACCCTTTCCTGCTCACAGGAAAGGCCTAACCAGGACTTATGTGGGTCTCCTTACTCTGGCCCATGGCTGCCCGGGCTCTGGCCACACTGGACTATTCAGAATTCCCCAGTTCTGCATTTTTCATGCTAAGAGACTTTTGACCTACTGTGTATTTTGGGTGGAGCCCTTTGTAGCCTGTTAGGCAAAACTTCTCTCAGCTCTTAGCTCATTATCACCTCCACCAGGAAGCCTTTCCTGACTGCATCTTAACGATCGACCCCCTTCCCGGAAGAGTTAGGCATTTGTCACCCCTGTGATTCCACAGTGCCCACTGCAGACTCTCCCCTGGTTCACACATTACCTGCATCTATTGTCGCCCTGGAGTGCAAGGTCACAGAGGCCGGGGATCATGACTGTCCCGCCCCCATGCTGACAGGGCCTGCCTGTGCCTGAACACGCATTTGCTGAGGATGGAAAGAGAAGCCGGTGCAGTCTGTCCTCAGGGAGTCAATGGCATGTGAACCTCGGGGGATGGGCCCCTTTCCGGTGTGAGCAGCAGCAGCGCTCAGCTCCCACAGGGTGACAGGGTGGGGGCCCGTCCTCTGGCCGTAGGGTGAGCTGCACCCCGTGCGGGCAGGCGCCCAGGCCCCCGTGCTGGGAGCTGGCTTTCCCAGAGAACGCCCGGAAGCAGCGGGCACCCGCCCAGCTGCCTGCGTCCTGGTTGTTTGGTCTCCCCACCTGGCCAGGCTGCTCAGCTCTGTCGTGTGAGGGGAGCTGATGGGGGTGTGAGGGCAGAGTCCCCAGGCTGCTCAGCTCTGTCGTGTGAGGGGAGCTGATGGGGGTGTGAGGGCAGAGTCCCCTCCCTGCGGTGTCCAGCCAGTTTGTCCGGACCCCAGCCCGGCGGGCTGGTTCCTCCCGGAGCACCCACTGCCTCCTCCCCCACCTGTGCGGTGGGCTTTGTCCGGAGCCGGTCCGGTGACAGACGGAGACTAGAAAGGGATCCTCCCTGCACGACGGAGGCACACAGAGACGGCGGGGGTAGGGGCCACTCAGGGCCGGGGTGAGCAAGGGACGTAGATCTGAGAGACCGGAGTTTGAGTTCCGTTGCTCAGTAAGCAGAGACATGGCACAGCTTACTGCACGAACAGGCCTCACCCAAGCTGTCACAGATGGCAGGAGCCAGACCAGGAAGACACATACGACATGATCTCACTTAGAGGTGACATCCATGTGTCGCACTCAGAGCTAGAGAGTGGAATGGTGGCCGCCAGGGGCTGAGGCGTTGGGTAAAGGGGGAGATGCTGGCCAAAGGGTACAAACTCTGTTATGAGATGAGGAATCTTATAACTGGGGTCTGATGTACGGTACGAGTGGCTGTCATTAAGAATACTGTATTATATACTCGAAAGTTGCTGAGAGACTAGATCTTTACCGTGGTAACTCTGTGAGGTGATGAACACGTTGATTAACTTGATGTGGCAGTCGTTTCGCAAGGTGTAGTATATTACATCATCATGGTGTATATCTTTAAAGAGCGGGCACAGCATCTATCAGCCACCCCCACGGTCGCTATGGCCGAACGCTCATGTTCCTGCACATCATGTCCTTGCCCGAGCCCCCAGGTGGTGGTATTTGGGGGAGCCATGCGGGTGGAGCCCTCAGGAATGGGCTTCATGCCCTTCTAAAGAGAGACATGAGAGCGATGAGCTCTCCCTTCTGCCATGTGAGGGCGCAGCAGGAAGGCAGCCGGCTGCAAACCAGGAAGACAGCCTCGCCAGGGACCCAATCGACCGGCACTTTGGTCTTGGACTGGCAGCCTCCAGACTGTGAGAAATAAGCTGGTCTTGTTCGAGCCACTCAGTCTGTGGCGTTTTTGTTACAGCAGCCCACGCTGGCTGAGGCAGGGTATTGGCGCCCCGGACAGAAACAAGCTACTGTGCTCAGCTCTGCCACGACCCACCCTGCTCAGTCTCACGCTGACTCAGTGAAGCCCGCACCGTCCCCAGGCCCGACTGTGGGCTCTGGGAGCTGGGACACGCAGAACGACAGCCAGTCCCAAAGCAACACAGCAAGTCGCAAAATCTGGATTCGAGTGTGACTGTCGCAGGAGAAGGAAACGTGAGAATGTGAAATCAGTCCTGGGACAAGGGCAGCCTTTCCAAGCAGGAGACAAAATCACAGAGAAAAAGACTGAACCATTAGATTACAGAGCAAACGTGAGTCTCTGGGATGGTAAAGAAAATAAAAGAAAATGGCTAGCTGGAAAAGTATCTGAGAAACAAAGGATAATTTCTAATATATTTTTTCAAAGTTCTTGCAAATCAGTAAGAAAAGGAGAAACAGCCGGTGGACTAGGAACATATGCCGAGAAGATTAATAG